CTCTGAATCCTCTGGTCATATGTTGCAAATATCTTCTTGCAAATATCTTCTTGGTTCTTTTGGGATAAGAACTAGTTTTCTACACAACTAGTTATATGTAAGTCTAAAACCCAAGGACTCTGCCACCATCCCATCGGAAACAGACCTGTTATTGTTCTTAGTTATCCTTCACCATCAGGACATCTGGCCTGAGGGAAGGGACAATAGGGCTTGTCATCCACAGTCCCCAGGAGGCAGGGGAGGCAAGGAGAGAGACATTGTCTAAGACAGGTTTCAAGACACTGAAAATTTCCGTCTTCGATATAGAGAGCTGTAGACACCCCCTTTTTTGACACTGATGAAACAGATTGCAATGTGCTCGCTGGCTTGACTCATAATCTCCAGAGCCTACAGGAAACCAGGAAACATGGGGGATGGGTGTGTTTCCCCTGGGGTAAGAGGACTCAAACACAGCACTCACTTCCATCTTGTAGTTTCCCTTGTGTGAGGCGTCCGTTGGAGCAGCGTTCTTGGTAAAATTGAGCTCCGCACAAGTAAAATTGGTAGCATACGGCCCCTTGGCATTGTATTTGAACACCAAATGCTCCCCCTCATCTGAGTATTTCACTGGTTCAATGAGGTACCTTTGATCACGAACCCTGAAGAATCCCCTGTGGGAATGGGAACACCACATGCATTCAAGATCCATAACTATCCTATTCTATTGACTTTTTTCTTTTGAAAAATGAGAAATTACAAAGTCAAGACTTCATGAACAGGAAGCCAGGTTTCCTGGTGGTAAAGAAGCAAGATAGCATGTGGGCTTTGGTAGAATTAAGAACATTTTCTAAAAGTCAGTTGACATGGATTTTCAGAAGTTTGACAATCCAATTTCTAGGTACGATAATAATTCCCACCCTGGTGGCTTCAAGTTTTGCAGAAATTTTGTTCATTCTTTTGTCTGTGCATTAAGTACAGAATAAATATATGAAGATACAGAACTACTTTGGGGAAATTTTGTCACTAAAGGGGTTCTCCTTCTTAAAAAGGCTGGAACGTGGGGGACGACTCAAGGAAAAGCTCCTTGTTCTACCCTCTATGACCCTTCATCTTCCTTCTTTTCCTTGAGCCTTTCTTTGTCCTTGAGTCCAACATCTATAGAGAATTACCTCTGACATTTTACTCTTTAGAGATCATAGACAGCTGAGCGTGATGGCGCCCACCTGTAATCCCAGAGACTTGGGAGGCTGAGGCAGAAGGATCAAGAGTTCAAAGCCAGCCTCAGCAAAAGTGAGGTGCTAAGCAGCTCAGTGAGACCCTGTCTCTAAATAAAATACAAAATAGGGCTGGGCTGTGGCTCAGTGGTCGAGTTCCCAATTCCCAATACCCACCCCCCTCAACCCTCTAGAGATGGTAAACACAGTTGAGTCAATGCTAACTCACTAAAGTGCCATGGTATAGTGGGAACTCAGAACTAGCATTCAAGAGAACTGGACTTTGGATTCAGTTCTAGGGCTAGCAAATGTTCAGGAGTAAGTGTCTGATGTAGTGTCCTGTCCTCTAACATAAGAGCACAAACTGAAAGATTTTCAGGGCCACCCCCAGCTCTGAATCCTCTGGTCATATGTTGCAAATCTCTTCTTGCGAAGGTTGTGTGTTAGACATCTTTTTGTCAAAATGAACATAAATCACAGGAGCTCACACTCACTGCTAAGAATATACTATAGCCCTTCATCCATTATGTTTTCTATTTAGAGAGTTAGTAAAAAGAAACAAGTAAAAAAGATGTCTTTAAACATTTATAGGAAAAGTTATAAAAGAAATAGGAAGCTGTGAGGGGTGGTGCATGCCTGTAGTGACTTGGGAAGCTGAGGCAGGAGGATCACAAGTTTGAATCCAGCCTGAGCAACTTAGTGAGCCCCATAGCAACTTAATGAGACCCAGTCTCAAAATAAAAAATAAAAAGGGTTGGGGGTGTAGCTCAGGGGGTGTAGAGCACTGCTAGGTTCAACCCCTAGAACCAAAAGAAACAAAAAAAGGGGGGGGGCGGGGGAGAAAGAGGAAAATACTCTGCCTTACCTTAGACCTTTACACGTGCTGATGCTGGCTGCAGAATCAAATTCATGTATAATGGATCCTTGGTAAAAGCAGTGCTCCTAACGTAGAAGAAGAGGGTATTAATGTAAGTATGAATATCAACATTGTGTAAACATTACTATCTCATCATTTTCCTTTCAGACACTTAGTATTTCATTCCTAGGTTGTGCATTCTGAATTATGCTCTTTTTCTTGGAAACATTTGAGTCTGCTTTAGAAATCTTGTACCTTAATTACATCATTACTTTGTGTAAAACCAAGTATGGATTCTTTCCTCACACATTTAATAGTCTGCTAGGTAATGACACCAGTTGCAGATATGCAACCCTTTTCTATATAAATATTATCCTCTTAATTCATCCTAAAATCTTTGCCATGCTGACCCTCTTGTGTGAATATCACAATTTCCCAGCTGCCTATGAAATCAAGCCAAGCTCTTGATGCTTCCCGTAAGAAGACCCTGCCTTCCTCCCAGTCCCCCTCATGCCCTTCTTTCCTGCATCTCTGCCTCAATCCTGCTGGCAACCCCCACTCCTCATGGTGGTTTGCTCATGGTGAGCCTGTCCGGTGCTACTCTTCCCACCATTTCCACGGTTCAGCTCCTGCCTGTGGATGACAGAGGCCTTCTAGGGACCTCACACCCTCACAGGATGACCACCAGCCCCTGCATAAAGGAACGTCACCCAGTTTTCCTCTGGTTCTGTGTCTTAAGACGATATGATGACTGAGATCTCCCAGAGGTTGGCATTTGCTTCAAATAGAGGAAATAAGTTTTTTAAAACATATTTTTGGTAAGAAGGACTTATATTGTTCTTGGCTAGAGGGTGGCAGACACTATGTTCTGGAAGGAGAGTGAAGTAAAAAATATAATCTATATCCACTAGAATAATAGTGATTAAAACAAAGTTTCATTTGGAAAATAAGAAGAGACCACCATCTCTAGCTTAAGTAGATCCCACCAGGATGCTCTAGCCTTCTTTGGGGTCCTGCTTTGCCCTTCCTCCAGGCTTAGCACAATATTGACTCTAGAAGAGCCCATTTATTAAAGAAAGACACATTTTGGGGATCATTTTTTAGAGAAAGGTGCATGTTTTCTATTCGGGCCTCATTCAGTGAGATGAGGCAATTCAGGGTTTGCTCCTTTTGGAGCAATTGGTAAGGCTTGAATTGAGTTTTGAAATTACATCAGGAAATATTAGTTTCAGAAAAGTGATGCGGAAAGGTTCTGTAAGCTACCGTGATTAGAGGATGATGGACGAGCATTTTTTTTTTCAAGGTGTAGAAGGTCTCACTGTAATTTGAGGACAGGAACTCCCTAAAAAAGAAAGCAGAGAGGAAGTGAGGACGATTCACTTTAAAACCCTAAATGATAAAGGCAACCATGTGATGAGCGGCCTCCAGACCACGATCAAATATTAGCAAAACAAACAAAACTTAAAATCCAACCCTACCCATGACAACGTGCAACATGAATGGACTAAACATCCCAATTAAAAATCAGAGGTTTTTTTTCAGAATTCATTAAATATCAAGAGCCGACTGCCATCTTACAAAATGCACATTTTAAATGTAAAGACAAAAGCATAATGAAAAGTGAATGAAAAATAGTGTATTTTGCAAATAGTAAACATAGGAAGTCTACACATAATATCAGGTAACAAAATGAAAACTTGTGAGTACTATCAAACATTTTAAAAGAATAATATCTTTAGAAAATGTAAGATAAGAGAAACTACCCAAATCATTTTATTAAAACGAGTAGATTAAACTGTGGATTAAACCCTGGTGTGCTTTACTGGTAAAAGCCACATCCCCAGCTCTCATTTTAATTTTTTTTTTTTTTTGAGAGAGGGTATCCTATCAGATCTGGGATTCTTCTGATTCAGCTCACCCAGCCACTGGAATTACAGGCAAGCTTCACAGTGCTGGGCTCCTACTAATTTTATATGACCAATGTCATCTAATGTCAACTTCAACACAGTTTAAAACACCATAAACAAGTTGTAAGTTGAATACCACAATATAATTTAAAATAATGAATAATAGGCAAATAAAATTTTATCTCAGGAATGCAAGCACAGTTTAATAGGTACAATCAATCAGTGTAAATCCCAGTATTGATGTTTAGGTGAATGCAAACAAAACACTTGGAACAAACTTCTTAATAGTTCACATCAATGGCATATCTATAAAGTAACGTCATATTAATTACTTAATATTTAACATTTTCAATAATTGATAAACTCTCTTAGAGGAAAAAACACTCAAATTACTGATATCAGAAAAAAAGAAGATTATCACTGAAGATACTATAAACATTAAAAAAGAGCAAGAGAATATTATGAAACATATAAAGTGTGGCAACTTAGGCAAAACCCATATTTCCATGAAAGTTTCAGTTTAAAACTGACACAAAGGGAAATAGAGAATCTGAATGACCCTCAGTCAATTGATAATGTGACTCTAAATCTAACATAAAGCCCCCTTCATTGTGACCCTGGGTAAGCTATTATTTTTCCATATTTTTATTGGTGTGTTATAATAATACCTAATAGTGGGATTCAGTGCTATATATGATAAGCTATTGTTTTAATGTACTTACTTCATATAGATATTGTAAGACTCAAGAAATAACTTTGATAAAAATACACAGAAATCACTTAATAAATATTAGCTCCCTTCATGTGGAGAATATGCAATCTGAAAATATTATCAATATGATCATGCTATTAGATTTGCATTTTCTGCATGTTTATCTAGTGGAAGATTCAGGATGGGGGGGCAGTTTTTTTCTGTATTTTTTTGTTTGTTTTAGCCAACAGCCCCGAGTCTCCATTCTCTAATAGTGGCACCATTCCAAGTGACTGAACAATCAATAACAACCTGTGCTTTTATAGTTTGGGTCTCTGAGATACAGCTATCCCATGTAGGAAGGGTTCAGAGAAAAACTGTGAAAATTAACAACAAAGGAAAGGACTCAAGAAGAGATTTCGAGGTTGGTTCAACTATGTAAGATGTCAGGATGAAGCAAATTCTTCCCAGTTCTTAGCTTACTCTCCAAAACACTTGGTTTTTTATTTATTTTAAACAACTTAGAAGTCAATTTCAAAACCATGGGTTTCAAAATTCTTTTGTTCTACTGATTCAAAAAGCACTAATGTGTCAACTCTTTTCCTAAAGTGTCTCTATGAAGCTCAGGAACTCCAAGTGCCCCAAAGAGTTATTTAGAAACCACAGAAGAGTGTCGATAGCTGTCTCTAAGTTGTTGAAAGGCAATGACTTTATATCTGAAGAGGAAGAATTCACATAATACAGAGGTAACAGTGACTTGAAGAATTAACTTCACTGGCAGTTTTAGAAAAACTGGGATATCAGAGATGACTAAATCTATAAGTGATGGAATCACACTAGAACTTACCTTGATCTTAGAAGGTGGAGGATTAAGGTTTTTCTATTGAGTTTTATTTCATACAACAGTTCTTCTTCATAGGCTTCCTGAAAAAACAAGATCTGTCATGTGACTTCCACACATGCTGGTCAGGAGCCTGCTGCTAGTGGGTGGTGTGGGGCAGGAGTGGTCACCTATCCCCAGTTCCTAGCCGTCCTTACAGGGAGCAAACACTGGGCATGCTTGACTTAAAAGAGAGCTAGTATTAGAAGGAAGATTTCACCCAAGTTATTCTTAACTAAAATTTTCAAAGGACATTTTTCTCTAGAAATGAAATAATAATAAAATACAATAAATATTCTCCCCTCATCCAGCCATACACAAATTCCTGTATGTCCATACAGAGTGCCTCCAAAACACACAGATCTTTTGTTTTCTGGTTTTGTTTTTAGCAGTTTTGTATATGCTGTTTTATAGTTTCCATTTTCAATTAAGAAATCATGACCATTCCCTTACAAATGTTCTCTTGCAAGAATGTGTTTTAAGGATGCCCCTCCCCCAAATGTGAGTGAAACATCATGCATCATTTATTTAATCTGTATCAATTATCAGAAATTTGTTTTGGGATGTTCACTGTACTTAGAGTTGCATTGTTGACAACTTGGAAAAAAATGTAGGGCTTTTGATAAATACTGATAAATATCATAAAGAAAGGAAATCTAAATGTAGAACTTCACCAAAAATTAATACTGGTTTCATGTGATTATTTGCAGCAGTCATATCTATTACTGGTATGTTGACTGCTTACCAGTAACAGATGGTAGGCAACGTTCCAGTCATAGATATTACTACTAATAAATTTTTTTAAACAATATAACTTGTTGTGATGTTCTGTTTGATAGCCATTGGCATTGATAATTTTCTTTTGTGTGTTTCATTATTTGTAGTTTTTTTTAAAATATGAATTTCTGCTTCATGACCATTTACCATTCTCTTTGGTAGTATTTTATTATCTTATGATTGATAATAATTTTTTCATAATTTAAGTTGTCGGTCTTTATTTTACAAATTTCTTTGAGCTCAATGTCCATTTATTTAACAGTTGCAGCTTCAAGTACAGTGATAATAGTGAAGACAGAGTGGTGTACAAGATGGAGGCCGCTGGCCTAACAGAAGCTCTAGATTGGCAAAGAAGGTGACCAGATAGCCACAGAATCAGGTGTGATAAGCATCGTAACAGGAGAACCACAGCAGTATTCCAGCATCACAGGCAAGAAACAGCAACTATGAAGGTCCTGAGGTAGGAAGGAACCCGGCTGGTTGGAGGAACACGGAGGGAGAAGTTCAAGGTTGCTAGAAAAATCAAGGACACGTTTAGCACAAGTGGGAGGGAGAGGTACAGGAAGAAGATTAGCAAGAACAGCCCACAGAGGTGAAGGCCTGAGACTCCTCCTAAGAGCAGACAAGCAAAGGGTTTAAGGGGAGGCCAGCATGGAATTTCATGGGTCTGAGAAATCAGCACTGAGGAGGGGGAAGCCCCTGGAAGGCGGCTGGTGCAGAGCAGGTGCCTTGGCAGGGGAATAAAGAGGAGTAGGTAACCTCAAAGATATGCACCTGCTAGACTCCAGATGCACCAGTCATTGATTGTCAGGGTGGGCAATCTAGAGGGGTCAGGAAGAGCCCAGGGTTTGGGGTATCCTGTTTAACTCTGTCATGACCAGGTGAGGATCTGATGAGGGACGGCTCTGAGGTGTTGGAGACCTTAGTTTTGTATTTGTTGGAAGTGAAGTGTGCACAGTTCAGGCTTTTTTGATTGCAAGTTTAACCAAAAAAATAAATAAATAAATAAAATAGGACTTATAATAAAGACACGACGGAATTCACAGGTGGCAGGCAAGAAGCAATGTGCTCCATCCAGAACGGTCAGGTCACATATTTCAACATATGTGCGCGTGTGTGAGCATAACAACTGGTCAATGGGGCTTTTTGTATCATTTGAATATTTGAATGTGAAATTTTATTAATTAAGAAATTAATGAGATTTTCATTTTAGGGTTTTTTTTTTTTTGAGACTTATAAGTACCTGGGAAGACATTACCTCATACTTAGATACATTCTGCACTAAGGCTTCCCTACTGTTAACATCCTGCATTACTGTGGTATTTCCGTCACAACCGAGGAACCAGGAGTGATGTGTTATTATTAATTTAAATCCACACTTATTCAGATTCCCTTAGTTTTTACGAAATGACACTTTGCTCTTCCAGAATCCCTTTCCAGGCACCACATTGTTTATCTGTCATGGCTCCTCAGCCTCCTCAACCCTCAGATTTTCCTAATTTCCCATGACTGACAGCTCTGAGGTGTACTCAACAGGTACTTTGTAGAATGCCTCTCAGTTTTTTGATGTTTTTTTCCCCCTATGGTTAGACTGTAGTTATGGATATGAGGGTGAAAGCCACAAGAGAAAGTGCCATTTTGTCACATCCAGAGTCCTTGCTATGAGGAGGACTCTGCATTCACAAGGTTGGCCTTCGTCACCGGGCTGAGGTGGCGGTTGCTACCTCTCCCCTCTGTGAAGTGGCTCTCTTCTTTCCCTCCATACTGTACTCTTTGTGAGGAAATCATAGTGCACAGCCCGTACTTAAGGGTGGGGACTCATGCTCCGCCTCCTGGAAACAGAAATGTCTCCATAAATTATTTAATTCTTCTAGATGAGAGATTTGCCTATTCTTCCACCTTGGTTTATCTATGTCTGTACGGGCTCACGGATCTTAGTCTATTCTTCAGGTTAAAGTACAAGGCCATAGTATTTATTTGTTCAAATTATCCTACCTTTGGCCCTTGAGCGTTTTTTAAGTGATTTCCTGAGTTCATCAATGTGAGTTTGGAGCTTTGTGTGTGTGTTTTTTTTTTTGGGGGGGGGAAGGGGTTGTTCATTTGTTTGGGCATTTTCTAGTACTACAAAATGCTCCAGGCTCATCTTGAATCTTTCCCACCTGTATTCAGGCTATATATTCATAATGGAAATTTTAATATTAATGTTGAAGGCTTAAGACAATAGCTTCCAGGAGAGCTCACTGTGGTAGAAAACTGGTTGTGCATCCTTGATTGGATACCAGCCTTTGACCAGTACAAAAGACGGGAAGGTGAAAAAGGAGTTGGGAATCAAGAGAAAAATTATTTATAAAGATAATTATTGGAGAAAAATAGACATCATTACCAAATGAGATTGGAGGGAGAGTTACTTTTTGTCTCAAGCCCTGAGACAGAGGTATCAATGGGACAGTTTGGAAAGTTGAAAATTATCTTCCTTTGACTGAGAAATCTAATAAGTGAGAGCCTGGGAAACAGGCTGTTGTAGTGGTGGAGAGAAACAATTCAATGCCTTGGGATAGTTGTGAGAGTGCCATGCCTGTCCATATTTCCCATGCACCAAATTTAAAACCTAAAATGTAAACTGCAAGTGTTTAATGATACACATCAAGAACATTCATCTAAGACTTTTCATAACAGTGGGGTTGAAAAGAAACTAATTGTGAATCTTGCTCCCTTTTATTATCCGTTTTCCATGATAAATATTCATTTCTTTTGACAATAATATTTTAAATATTTTTAAAGTTCAAGACTTGCACAGACATCCTTCTAAGTACAGGGCAAGAAGGACTTTTTGTTCTTAAGAAAATTGTCCAATTCTGCTTCAGAATGTATTGGCTGTAAGGCAAATAAACCTGCCTGCTAGGTCTCAGGGAAAACAAAATCAATTCTCGGATGACATTCCATGGGCACCCGCTCAGAACAAGTGAGGTGGCTCTAGACCAACTTGGAGAAGTGTGGCTGGAACACCTCGCTTAATGGCGCCCCCTAAAACCTGATGTTTGTTTCCTAACCCATTGAGGGGTTGTGCACCCCTGAGCACAGGCTGTAAGCTGAATGGGAGTCCTCCCAAGAACTGAGACTCCTCTCTTTCTATTTGCTTCTGGCTGGACCCAGAGGAAGCTTTCCATATTCCTCTGAAAGCAATAAACTGTATTTACTGAATGGCACTCATACCGGCACGTCATGGTGATCATGGGCATAGTCAAGGTCTCGCTTCTGCATCAGAGAAAGCCGTTTCACATGGACCAGTTGGTACAGATCTGCTCCAAGGATCACTTTTTCAGGAAAAAAAAAAAAAACATGAGGAGGGAAATCCAACTGATATCAACATTCATCCACACAGAGACTGAATGTGCATATTTCTCATTTTATACCCAACAACATTGAGATGGATATTTACAAACTAGGAAAATATAAGTAAAATTGGAAAGGGGTCTAAGACATAAATGTCCCTCGTCTTCTTAAACAGTTTCACCCTGTTCTGTACTGGCCATCTTTGTCTCCCCAGACCTGTCTCTGGTTCTGCCTCTTATCAAAGTCTGAACTGGAAGAAGGTCCTGTTGCTATGTAAATTACCAGATTTTGTCTTTGAGGAACATTTACACTTGAGGTCTTAACTCCCATAGTGAAGGGTAAGGCTTTCACTTGCTAGTGAACTGTAGGTAGCCCCACGTCAGGATAAACACAATCTTCTCTACTCAGGTCCTATCACATTGATAGTCACCTGGGAGGTGATCTGGGACCTTAAAGAGCTATAAAGAGGAGAAGGCATGCACGTTTTGGAACATGCTCTGATTCAAATCAAGTTTTCACCAGTTTAACAGCCGTGTGATCATGAGTAGCTCTCTGATTTGTAAACACTACTCCTCGCATGTCCCTTATCTGTAAAGTGGAGAAGATATTATTGAATTGAAACATTCTAATGTACAATGTGACTAATGGCTAGCACAGTCCCGCGTTATTGTAGGTATTTGGTGAATGTCCACTATGGGTCAGAGTGCTTAAGAGTGATATGGAATTTCATAGAATCATCAAACCTCAGGATTAGCCATAACCTAGTCCAAGTTCCACACTAACGGTGCTCAGCAAAATCACCTGTGCATAGCGACTGTTCTTGTTATTTACAATAAACTTTGTGGCTAAAGAGATATTGCCTCATAGTACAACCAGAAAACCCTGACAAAAAGAGTAAGACATACCTTTGACCTGAGAAATGAGTAAAATCATCAAAAATATAGACCTGGGGAGCATTCTGAACGGTCCTGGTGGAAGAGGGGCACCGTGGCACCTGAGAAGAGCCGCGCCCTGCTCCTCGTCCTTGGTCTACCGCAAGGATGCAGAGCCTAACGGCTAGATGGGCAGTTTTGATCTGGCACAAGGAAGTGTTCCTGACCAAGTTGCACAAGTTGCTAGAATGCTTGAGGCCAAAACCTGAGGGCTGGACAGCGTGTGCTAATTAAAGAACCCCTGAGGTGGTGGTGGAGGTGGCTTGGCATAGATTCCTGCTTCATGCCTAACAGAATATGATTCTAGATCTACTAAAACTTCAAGAGTGAAAAGATCAGGAATGTTTTAGAAAAAAAAAAAAAACAACACATATTGAAGGATGATATCGAGTTTGGTTGAAGAAGGTGAAGCCCGGCCATGTTGATGACCACAGGTAAAAGCCATAAGGGGACATTTACGAAATAAGATAAAAACATTGAAAATTATATATGTCATGAATCACATAAAAGACAGAAACTCCAGACGTGTATGCAAAATATATAACAAAAGGTGTGAATTGCCTTTCAATATAGCGTAGTTTCAAATTAATACAAAAAAGAAAATACGGATAGCTCAGTGTACAAAGGACTGGGTGAAGCTCTTTATAAGGTCTGGCTTCCCTGAGGTGTTAGAGGGGAACTTCCCCTGCCAGTACCAGCCCTTGGTCTGCATTTAGGATTCTGTCCCTCCTGCAACTCGCAACGTCTCCCCAGTATTCCCACCAACTGAAGCAATCCATGCCAACTGCAAGTGTCCTTTTGAGATTTAAACAAGCTTGAAACTCCCCTTTTGGAAAAATCCTATCCTTAATTCTCAATCCTGCTATTATGTCTTACCAGGACTTTCTGAGTCACTTTTTTTTTTGGTGGAGGTAGTACTGGGAATTGAACTCCAGGGCACTCGACCACTGAGCCACATCCCCAGCCCTATTTTATGTTTTATTTACACACAGAGTCTCATTGAGTTGCTTAGCGCCTCACTTTTGCGGAGGCTGGCCTCAACTCATGATCCTCCTGCCTCAGCCTGCCAAGCTGCTGGGTTTACGGGTTTGCACCACCGCGCCCCACTTGAGGCACTTTTCTTATATCCAACTCCTGCTGCTACATTTCAGGATGGCATCTACCTTTATTATGATCTGAATGAGTGGCTTGATGTCTCTAGTGGTTTCATTGTGTCTATATCCAGTGGGCATTTTAGTTCCTCATCTTTCTTGTCCTTATACTACCCTTTATATTAAAATATTATATTTAGCTCCTTTGACGTAGCAGACTTCTTACCTTTTTCCTAGTTTTCCGGCAACTGGTAAACATACCCATTCTATCTAGCCTTTAAGTTTGGAGTTCCTCCAGGTATTATCCTATACCCTCTTTTCCTCTAATTATGCTCATTCCAAAACCATCTCAGGTTCAGATATGGTTTGGTTATCTTTCTGCTCTATGCCTCAGATTTTATGTTTCTAGCCATCTAAACAACAAACTTTTACAGCCAACTTTCTATTCCACTTTCTTATTTGGGAGACACAAGCTCCACATGAGCGGGACTTAAAGTTCTATCCCTCACCCCCACCACTGAATCTCTGTCTCAGCTACTGATCCCCCTCCATTTAGCATGACAATTCTCAAAGTCATTACCATCTTTGTATCTCTCACAATCCTTCCATCACTAAGACTGTTTATTTGACCTACAAAAAAATCCCATCTCCTTCTCTCTATCTTTTCTGGCTTTGTCTTAGTCTAAGACAAAGTCTAGCAAGTGAGATCTTCTCAAAGGACCAACTTGATTATGTCAAGTCCCTGTTAAAAAATGCTTCAATAATTTTTTTTCATTGATGCTAGCAGAAAGACCCAGTAGACTTTAAAGTTCCCAAAGCTGTATTGTATGTCACTAAGTTTGTGGTTTCAGGCAAGACGTGAAATATTTCTATACTTCTGTTCTCTCCTTTATAAAATGGGCATAATAATATTTATCTCATGGGGCTGATATGAGAAGTAAATTAATCTGTGCGACAAACAATCTTCTATTTCCTGGTTCATTCACTGTCCACTCTTTCAGTTGGCTATTTTACACTCTTTCTTCTGTCCTCAAATCTCTCAACCTTCTCTTCTTTGCTCTTATCTCGTTGCCTTGCTCGTTCACTGAGAAACAAGTCATCAGAAGAGCTCTCGCTTTCTCCATTACCACCCCTACCTTGCTGTCAATCAATACCTGTGCCCTGATGGTCTGTCTGTGTGCCTCCTGTTTTCTATGGATGTGCCATCCCTTATTTGAAGGTTTATGCACCACTTAAGTATTCACTTCTGTTCCTTCCTCCAGCCCCAAATCAATGGTTATTCCCTGACTCATCTGTATTTCAATTAATGTATGCATACCTCACTGTGAACATTTTTCTATCCTTTAATAAAATTATTTACTTATTTTTAATGACACTCTCCCTTTTACCCAGCTACTATCCATTCTTGGCTTCTTTTAACAATTATTAAACTTCTCAATGAATGAGCCCACAGTTGTTCTCCAGTCCCTGTCAGTTTATCTTACTCAACAAATCAGATCTTGTGGGTGTTACCAGTGATCTGAGCCATGCAAAATTTGGTGGTCCATTCTCCATACTCACTCACTTTACCTTTTAGCAGGATTTGACAGAACTGATATTTGTATCTTTTTTTTGTTTGTGTTTGAGGTTCTGGGGTTTGAGGCAAGTGCTCTGCCATTGAACTGTGTATCCAGCCCTTTATTTTATTTTACTTTATTTTATATCTCACTGATTCTCCTTGGCTGGCGTGGCATTTGTGATTCTCCTACCTCAGCCTCCTAATTAGCTGAGATTACAGGTGAGCACCACGTCTGTCTCCTAGCCCATTTCCATCTTTTGGAAAGAGCTTAGCTCCTTGTAAGCAGTGCATCTCTTCCATGCTATTTCCTGCCTCTTCTTAGTCTTCTTTCTTTGACTCGCCTCCTCATGACAGTGTCTAAAGGCTCCAGATTCCCAGGGCCCAAGTCTTGAAACTTTTCTCTCTCACCAAAGGAGATGGTTCTCTTGCCATCTTTTGGCTTTAGACATTCATGTATAAAATGATGACCTCCAAATTCTCCGTCTAACCTGGCCTCTGAATTTCAGACTCGGAACCTCTCCACTTGAAGGTCTAGTGGAGATCTCAAACACAAGCACAAAGTCTGAGTTCTGCTCTCATCCTCCAAACCTGGTATTTTCACAGACTTTCCTATCTGGGATATTGCAACTCCACACTTGGTTATTCAGGAATCATCCTTGATCCCTTCTTTTCCTGACTGTTGGCAGCACCCTCGACAGCAAATCTAGTTGCTTCTATTCTGAAATGGCATCAAGGTTCTCACCACCTCCCACACTTAACTTCTACTGTGCCGATCCAAGACACCATCATCTCTACCCTAGTTTATTGAAATCATCTCTTCACTTATCTCACAGTTTTACTCTTGTCCCTCGCCATGTGTTCTCTGTGCCTCTTCCAGATGCACCACTTATGTGATTCTTCTGACCCTTTCAATGGCTTCCCCTCTCAGAGTGCTAGCCACGGTCCTGCGATAGCCTCCAGGACCTGCATGGTTTATCTTGATGTTCTCTGGCTTCACATCTTACCATCCCCCTCCCTCTCCACTCAGAGCCAGTTACTGTGTGCCCACGCGTATTTATGGAGCATGCCAGGCACATTCCGCTTCAAGGGTCTTGGCTTGCTGTACCTTCTGCCAGGGACACTCTCCTTGAAGATAGTCACGTGCTTGCTTCCTCTTTCCTTTCAGGTCTCTGCGCAAACATCATCTCATAACTGAGGTCCACTCCAAGCACATTGTGCCCAACAGACCTTTCCATGTCCGTGCTGGCACTGCAGGGCCCTTGGTTGCTTGGTGTTAGTCACCTTCAGAAATGTACATTTGCTTATTTTTTTTTAATTTATTTTTTATTTTTTTGTATTATTTTATTGTTTTTTCCCACCCATTTTTATTGGTGCCCTATAGTTGCACATACTGATGGGACTTACTGTTAGATACTCAGGTATGCACACAGTATCACTCCCCAGCACTTTCCCCCTTCCTCCCCAAACCCCTCCACTCCTTAAAACATAAGGAGTCTCTGGGAGGACAATATGGTGTCTGTTTTGTGTTTTGTTTACCACCATATCATCAGTGCCTGGAACAACAGGTTGCCAATAGATTTTTATTCAGTAAAGACATTAATACATTTTCAAACTTGGAAAGATATCTGGTATGGAGAAAGCACTTCATCAAAATAAACTATTATTATTTTAATTATGAGGGAAATTATAAAGTAGATAAAAATAGCCACTCAGAGCCCCTTCACCTGGGTTCAATTCCCAGCACTTAACCTTCCTACCTCTAGATTTTAGACAATATCCGATTTTTCTGCACCTAAGATTTTTTTTTTCTTCCCAAAATGAGGAAAACAATAGTATCTAATTTGTAGCGGTTGTAAAGAATAAATGAAGTAATTTATGTGCATCACTTAAAAGCAATGTCTCCTGCATATTAAAAGTTGATGAATGTTGAATATTTTAAGGAGTATTTAAATATGAATCTTCAGTGTGGGTACTTTCATGTTTTCAACTGTTATTATTCTTTTTTTCTCTGTCTGAGCTCCAGCCTCTCTGGATGTCTGTCTTTACTCCAAAATTTCTTTCTCCCATTAAAGGGACGGACACATTTGTCTCTCTGTAGTCTTTTCCTCTCCTCCTTGTGGCCAAATTAACTCCCCATCCTTCAGTTCTCAGTTCTAGGGTCACTATCTCAAGAAAGTTCTCCCTAACCCCCAAGTCTACAGCCATATTTCTTTGTGAAACAAGATACTTTTCCTTCTGGAAACTTAGTTTGGTTTGTAAACCACTGATTTGTCCAATTATTTGAGCATTTGTCTGCTCTAGAAAACCCAAGCTCCAGGAAACCCTTGTGTTTGGGTATTGCACCACCAAGAAGCTATCAGGGTCTTGCATATAGACACTTGCTATGAATTAAGGAAAAGGATTACTAAACTAATTTGCATCATGATTATTATCTGACTATATCCCCTCTTCCCAGAAGTTTAGAATATACCAGTGAAACCACTTT